ACAACATCAACATCAGCAACATCGATAACATCGACAACATCAACATCGACAACATCGACATCGAGCACATCAACGACAGCATCAACATCAACATCGACAACATCGACATCGAGCACATCAACATCAACATCGAGCACATCAACCTCAATATCATCGACCACCACCACTTCAACACTCTCTATCTCTTTCACTACAAGCAGTACGACATCATGTGAGTAGAATTTGGAAAATATTTTTGTATTTCAGAACATGATTCGTCTGTTTAAGAATAATATTTGTCGCTAAATATGGCTAACTTAAAACTGTAGTAGGACTCTTAAAAGGATGAGTGTGGGTGTTGGTGGGGATGTGACTGTCCGATTAGTATGATACTCGGACTCACACCCTATACTAAAAAAAAGTTTTCATATCGTGCTAATTTATTTTAGATCAAACTACACAAGCACTCAATTATTCCTGTGTTGTGAATGATAGTACCATTCAAATAGAGTTATCACCTTTGTCTCATTCTGCCGCACAGTCAGCATCGAATTGTTCTTTAAAACAATATAATGCCAGTTTGACTAATTGTGCCGTGTCGAATCCTTCATTAACACCATGTTTTGATTATCGCACATTTGATAATAGCAGCTATGTGGCACCTGGTATCCTGTGTTCGCTTTTGGAACCATGCAACAATGTTACACTTACTTGCGCATCAAATAGTTTTGTTTGTGTAGTCAATTCATGTTGTTCACCACAGGCGATATGTTTACCGTTGGTATTGACAAGACTTTGCATAATAATTCCGTGATACATTCAATATAATGAAGACTGTTCATGCCCCTTTCGATATTAACCTATTTACTTAGAAATATATTTCCCCTCCCCCACATCAACCTATAAATAATAAAGCATTTTATGAACTAATATTTTTTTTAATTGTTTTGTTTGTTCAAAATGGATACCATCTTGAAAATGCGGATAATCAATATTTCAAATTTCATTGCAACAAAAGAGGATGTGAGTGCATGTGGATGTGGGTGGGTGTGAGGGTGTGAGTGAATGGGTAGGTGTAAATGTCGGTTTGGTATGATTATTATATCCATCGCACACCCATACTTACAGACACACCCTTAAGGACAAGAAGTGTCGAGAAGAGAAGTATCAGGAAGACAAGTACTGGAACAAAAAATATGACTCAGACAAGCGCAATACTGATGAATAACATACCGCCAATCTACTTACAGAAGAGCGTGGTGATCAGCGTCAGGAAAATGAAAGAGCGACTCAATAACGTCGGGATGATGAATATCGACAACAATAGTGTCGTTATTAAGAAAGAATGGCAATACGTCGACGAAAGAAAAAAACGTACTTGTCACTAATAAACATTTATTTAATTTGTTATAAGTACTAAAGCATTTTCTATGTATTATCTCATTTATTAAAAAACAAGAGTTTTAACATTTAATAAAGCTCAATGAAATCCGTTTCTAAAATAAAACCTGACATTTTAAACATTTTCTTCTATCTTTTGACATATTATAGTAGACAACAAAAACAGTCAATTTGCCTTTTGTTTGTCAACACTTTGAAAAGTAACATTCAGCGCACGTCACTATTATTGGATAAACATTTTCCGACATACTTTTCCATGCTGTTATCATTTATATATTTGATATTATTTATCATAGATTTTTCTCTTAAACTTTCAGTATAGTTCACAACAAAGTTAATTTTAATAAATGTTTATTACACATTCAAAAGACATATTCCATATTCTTCATCAATCACAAAAAGAATCACGAAATAACAAACATTGAACATCTTGAGGGTGTGAGTGTGGATATCATTTTATTATAATATCCACACCCACCCTCAAGATTACTGATCATTCGGCTGAATTTTTTTAAATAAAACTGGCAATAAAAATGTAATATCTGATGAGAGAAATAAATCAAATGATCTTGAATAAATAGTAAAACTATCGTAGTCTTTTTTTGTTCGTTTTGTAACACCTGCAAAACAAAAGCTCTGTCAAATTTTACAAGATAACGTTACTATGGTCTTTTTTATGAATCTGGTGATGTTAGTGGAGAAGGAAAGGAAAGAAAGAAAACGTGTTTTTTTTCTTTACCTATAATTATACAACATGTCTCATTTTAATCACTGAAAAGGGTGGTCACGTTAGTTGAAATATTACAAAATGCTGTTGTCTATCGAAAATTTGCCTGTCGAATTGTGGCTTACAATTTTTTCGTTTCTCGAAGGGTACGATCTGCAAAGAGCATTTTCGAATCTTAATTCGTTTTTCAATGGTCTACTTCGTTCGCCTCACCTTCGTATTTATTTGAATATAAAACGAGGCAGATGCAAAGAATTAAGCGTAGTTCGCAGTGTCTTTCATTACGAAGCATTTGAAATATTGCATGCCAATATACATGGATCTTCTGATTTGCTTATCTTACTCGATACCTCCGGTCGGACATTCTCAAGTCTTCGCTCACTCTCGCTTTGTATACGTCGACAAAAAAATTTTCGTCTACTGATTTCTGTCTTACCCCGACTTTTCTGCCTACGACATTTAAAACTCTCGTGTGCTATTTCCAGTGCTGATTCTACCTTGGAATCTCTTTACATTGAAATACTAAAACTACCACAATTACAAATGTGTGAACTCCAGCTATCACGAGACTGGCCTTTCCTACCAGACCCGTATCCAAATTTGCCGATTAGTGGTTCTCTGCGGCGTTTTCATGTTGATGCTGCGATTCGATCCACTGGTTTATGTCATCTCGTCAAGTTCATGCCTTCACTACGTTTTCTGAATGTCTATCTTTATCATCATAATAGAATTAGTTGGAATGATCTTTCGTTTCCTCAATTAACCAAGATGGCATGCTTATCATTGATCAGTCAACATATCGACTTGAATAGACTGGTTCAAGCAGCACCAAATCTCATATACTTCTATCTCCAGATTGAACCGTATAAAGGTCAATATACTAGAGAATTCTTCGAGGCAAACAACTTTTCCAGTTCTGAAATGAAACGTGTCCATATTCAAATGATTTTAGAAAAAAATATCACCACTAGTTTGCTCCAACTATTACCATCTGTTATAGTCCAAGGACAACAGTTCGTTGAAGAAAGAATAGATGAAGGACGGGATTTACGTGAATATAGTATCGTTCAGAAATACTTTAATATGGTTTAAAGTGCTTATCGTCTCTTTTAATACAATGATTTATAACCAATATTTTCTAGTCTTTAGTGTAAGAGTATGTTTTTTCTGTCATCAAAATGACATCTCTTTGAAAATATTATACATTGAATCCTCAATGGATTATCAATCATATAAAACATTATTTCAGATAATGCATTGCAATATAAAAGAAAATACGAAAAGAAAATTATTTTTAATTCATTATTTCAGAGTGTATTTGATTGATATGACACGCATACTCACACCCTCAATTTATATAAAATTATTAATATGTGAGATTCAGTTATCAAAAAATCATAGTGTTAAAAGTTACACATGTTTCAGGATGGATTTGTTATTCAGCCATTGAGTGCTGTGTATTGATCGAACTGTCAAACTGAGTAACAAAAGTATTAATACTATTTGAAATTTAAAATAGACAACAGCAGGGATACAATTCTATCGCTTGTAACAGATTCTCTATATTGTGTTCGACTTCGGTTGTTTCGTTTATCGTGTGTCTAATTACATTATGTATGCTTCTTTCTAGTTGGTTTCTCTCATCTGTCACTTCTGCGCATGTAACTGTATAATGATGAAGAAACATAGATGAGTGTGACAGCAGTATAGTATGGCAAGCGATGTATATCTAGCTAATTTTGTCACTGTTTATGTGTGTGCTTAGAATACCACAAGTTTTGCTCGGTTGCACATGCGCGATGATTAGGATGTGTCACTTATGATTGTCATTCATTATCCGACTAGTTTTCTATAAACAAGCGATTCTTTTGACGTCGACGTGATAAAAAAAAAGTAAGAAATAATAAGCATTCAACGATGAGTGGTAACGCACAAACATTTCTCCACTCTCTAGTTTCATTTAAACACACATCGAAAGAGGGTGTGGGTGTGAGTATGAGTGAGGAAGAGGCTCACATCCACCCACACCCACACCTTGCGCACACTGATCGTTACATCGATACTGGACAAACATCTGATTGGACAAATGACAATACATAACTCAGTTCTAATAAACGCTTGCACCATCAATATTATAGATTGAGTAAAAGAAAAAGAAGAAACATTTTTCGTTGGATAGAATCGTTTGGTCTTGATCGATTGTATGATAGATAATCATATAATGCATAAATTCTTATACTAGTAGTCTTCAGTAGAATTTATTGAGCAAAAAAAGAAAAAAAAACAATTTTCAGATGATCTTTTTATTCGAATGATTTTTGATCGATACGATAAGTGTCAAAAGTAAACGAGATTAAGAATTAAATTTAACAAAAAAAATGAAAAAAAACTAGTTGCTTTATTTAAACTAAATTTCTTTTTATTTTTTTGTTGTCGAAACTCAAATGAACTATAAGAATTACAAGAAAAGGCTAAAGGCTTTTAACCAGTACCAAGAACGTTACCGCGACCGCCGAATACTTGTCGATTACGAACGGTAGTACTCTCAGTGTCTTCCGATGGTTGTCGGCGATTTATTGGTGCTGTACCAAAACCACTTGTACTTCGTCGTTTATTCGGAAAATAACGATATCTGCAAATATAATTATGATATTTCTTTTGATTATATATAAAATAAACATACAGAAACTTCGGTGTGTTTAATAATCGTACGCCATCAAAATCTTGTGGATATTTGAAAACAAGAAAATAATAAAGATGACCAATAACAATACCACACAAATCTTCTTGAAATCTAAATAAAATAATGTAAAATTTTATATCGAAAAATAGTTAAACATACGTTTTATGAACAATCCAATTGAATAACAAAATAGCCCATGGAATATACATTGCTTTGAATTGCGTACCGAACCAAAATGACACTATTACTTCTTTATTTAATTGACACCAAATATAAACAACACACATAACCATACTACCCATCGATCCCTTTCAGAAAAAAACAATTTTCTCAAATTAAATTAAAAAAAAAAGATTTATTTACAGGTATGCGAAGAATGAAAAGAACAATGATATTACATAGCCAAAGAAATGTTAAACAAAATACGTAATCAGCTGGTCGATCATTAAATGTACCTGTTTAAAGAAAAACAAAAATAAAGTAGCACATAGATAATCTTTTTATTTTCACAAAATTTTACTTGTTTCCAGACGTGAACTATATTTGTAAAGGAAATATAGCTTCACAAGATATTCAAAATTTAGCCCATGCATAAACACAGCCATGAACATCTAATAGAAATAGAAATTTTTAAATAAACAATATATATATAAAGAAAACTTACTACGAAATATTGTATAATTGAATTACCATATATCACAAGATGAAATGAGTTAAGTATTCCTAATGCTACAGCTAGAGGAACAACAATAGAAGCTGTAAACCAAACACGAGTTATTGGAGGTATACTCTTATACCACTGACCAAGATCGTTCGAACCTGACATAGTATTTTTACTATCTAAAGATTACTTATTTGACATTGAAATATACACAAATAGGATACATTAAAATTTGACTAAACTTATATTAACGCTACTAAAAATTCAAAAATATTATCACTTATTTTTTTTAAATTTCTTTTGTTATTTATATCTTAATTGTGAGCACATGTTGAGAGTAAGATCATTAGTAAAAGTTGAATCAATTTCTGATCATTCGCTTGTGTAGAAACTCGAAGATTTTTGTGAAGTTACTTGCATTGGCTGTGTCATTCTCCTAAAGATTTGGGGATCGATGCAACATGTGCTCACTTTATCAGTGTCTTCTCAGCGATACTCTAATACATACTAGATAAATTCATACTAGGAATTTAGTAGCACGGCTCAATTCTTGAGTAACTGGTGATCGAACTTAAGTGGTAAATAAAAAAAGAAGTACGGTCTTGTGATGAATATCTCATCGTGTATATTCCAAGAAAAAACAGAAAGGAGTGAAGCATACCATAAGCACATATCATCACGCGTAAGCTATATCATAAAAGATGAAACGAAGAAAGAATGTGTATATGATATAGAACGAAGAAGAGCACGAGATGAAATGTATAAAACATACAAAATATATAGAAGATAGAGTGAGGATGTATATGTGTGAGAAAGAGGGGAAAACGCGAGGAGTATGAATGCAAGCAGATGCATGAAAGAGGAAAGAGAGTATACCATGTTCGGTGGACATGACAGGTATCTAGTCGGATTGATTATTCTTACATATATCATTGATTAAACTTGTGAATATTTGTCAAGTGATGCATCAAGCAGATCTAGTGGGATATTTTGTGAACTAGAAATATTCTCCTACCTTCAAACCTTCTAGTCTAAGTAATAAACAGCTATTGAAAAATAATATCATATCGAAGATATTCGTACACTCGGTTATTTCTTTGTTTCTCGCTGCACGGTTGATGTTAACCTTTTCACTTCCTGCTTTTTTATATGTGAATCGAAGTCCACTCTTTTATTTTGCATATCATTTCTCACGTATCATCTCATGGTTAACTGCTTGTGTGTATAGATGTATTCAATCAATGCATGATAAAAATGTAGTAAGATACTTTTATCATGAATGTAGCTGAAGTATTGGTAGGAAGTATAGAGAAACTGTTTAGGTATGAGATGAATATTTATAATGTAATATTTTTCCGAGTAGTATAAATAGCTGCTACTTTTATTAGAGTTAAATCTGACTTATACATTTGTAACATTGTTTCTATATTTTTATACTATTTAAAATAATTCGAACTCGAAAAGATTATGTCTTTTATTTAGTATTTGATATTTTGATAATATTATTTTTATCTCCATTAAAAAAACAATTAAAGCCTCTTGAGTCTCTCAATCTTTCACATCATTTAATCTATATAATAACTATAAAAATTCTCAATGAAACAATCGTATTTACGTCTGGATTGATGATAGAAAATAATTATGTAATGCTACTTTTGGAAAGTCTTTCTGGACAAAATATTTTATTAGTTTTGTAGCATCTTAAGAGTGTGGATGCGAGTGTTTTTACTCATTTGTTATCCACATCCACATCCTCAAGATCCTATTAATTAAATATTTTATTTTCGACTAAGTAAATATAGGTCGTATGAAGAGAACCATAGTTGGCGTCAATCAAAGTGGAGTCTATAATCCTCATTTTACCATTTTTCTTATATAAAAAGCTATCGATGAGTAACAATAATAACTTTTTAAAGATTATCCAGAGACGCTCTTAGTAACAGCTGCATAGAACATCCTAAGAGAAAAATCTTTTGATTACTCTGGAAGGATTTCTACTCATCTGCTATTCTTCTGGAGTTATAACCATTATACTGGATTTCTTGATTATTGATACATTGTAAAAAATGTGTAGAATAAGAGATCCGTAAACGATTTATTATACATTGCACTTTCATAAACTCTTTTATATAACTATCTGGAAGATTTAGAAGATCTTCTATACCGTAAACGAGTATATCAAATCTATCTTATACCTAAAATAGGTTCACTTAGCAAAAAAAGACATCTACACCCATTTATTGAAACCTTTTCCTGTATGCTAATTAAACAAGAAAAAGAATCTGTTTATACATCTCAAGCGAATATGAAAGGTAAGAACTTATTGATATATCTTAATTAAAAACAATGGAATAAAAATCTATTTCTATTTCTCAATTAAACAAACAAGAATCATATTTTTGAAATCGCAACTAAACGACTAAATAAGAATATTCTCTACTGGAAAACATCTATTTTATCTCATAAAATTGGTAAGGGCTACGCTTGTTCTAAGTTGCTAGCAAGAAAATAGTGATTTTATTATATTAGAATGGAAAAAAGGATAGAACAAACAGACAATTATCTATATAATAAAAAGGTTAGCTGTATTACGTGTAAAAGAAGAAAAACATCCTGGTCGACTGAAATTGCAGGGAAAAATTATAAAAAAAGATTTTCACCATAATAAATAAGCGCAAAAATAGTTGCATTTAATATTTCTCGATTTTTTTTCTGAGTATATCGCCACTTTTTTTATATAATGAAGTAATAGAAAGAAAAACGTTAAGTATTTCTAAGCCGATAGAAAACAGAAAAAAGTAATTTTTTTATTATCTTGTATCTTTAGTCTATGCCGCTCATCTTAATAAATCTCCATAGAAACGATATGAATCACAGACTTTTTTCTGTTCTTTTCCTTTTATTCGCTTTTAGCCCTGTTACAGCTTTATTGACTGGTGTTCAGTGTCTAACTCTCTATCTTTAGGAAATATCCAGCGTATGATCGAAGTTGAACAATCGGAAAAATTTTATTAAATATAATACATATGAAACTATGGCACATAGAGAACGAAAAGAAAAGATCGAACATATATAACAGATAGGAATAGAAAAATCCAAGTATATATGATATAAGAAAGAAGAGGTAACGTCATTAATAATATTTTATTCAATGATTAAAATTGGACTTTCTAGTTTTTGTACACTTGCAAATTTGTTATTTGCATTTGAACTTGAATCAAATCTTAGTTTTTCTGTTGCTCTTCCAATGGCTTTTATTATTGCACTTTTTATTGGTTTTATGCACAGTTCATATCCACTATTATATAAAAAACAGATTAGTACTGTACAATGGACTCAAGATCAATTTAAAATTTACTTAAGCATTTAATCAACAACAAAAGTTTGTTATATAAATTATTATTTGACTATGTTTGTGTTATCTTCCAGAAATCAAATCTATAAAAGAGCAGCATCGTGATGTAAATGATACCACTGATAAATCGGAAAAATGACATATCTAAACTATATCCTACGTTTTTATATAAGGATTAATGAAGAACGTATCATGATAAATTAACAAATCTCTATAATCGGTTATGACGTATATATTTTCTTTTTGCTACTTTGATTACAATATTTATTAAAAATCTGTAAATATCGGTACAATAATTATATGAAAATACAACTAAAATGTAAGCTTGATGAATAATATAATTAATTAGAGAAACATTCTATTTCTTACGATTCCACTCTCAAAGAAATGCGAATACATTAGAAAAATCAAGTTTATGTTATGACATGTTACAATAGATTTTTGGATTTTTAAAAATTTGAAATTGCCACCTGTCGTTTTGTAGCCAGTCATTTTCAATAAACTCAAAGAGTTTGAGAGATTTGTTATTAAAGACCTAAGAATAAATTGGAAAAATTATAAGCAACTTAAAAAGATACTAACAATGGTCAGAACATTTAATGTTATATCAATCAATTGTTTATTATTCTGATGCTTACGTTCAAATTTGTTAAAATGCAATCTACAAGTACAAATAGACAATCCCATGATCTCTTAAGCCCCTTCATCACTCAAAAATCGATTTTAAACATGCGATCATCCAAATAACTTGAAATTTTTAGGGTATGTAAGGTCTCATAAAACCCTCAAAAAATGAATGTTTATTAATGTTAGCGTGTGTATATATAATAGATTAAGACAAAAGTCTGTTTTTTTATAAAGGCTTGAAATTCACTATTTCGTTTATGAAATGTATTTAATAATAATTTTTCTTTTCGATATCATGTATGCTATGTGATTCATTATTTAAAATTTTCTTCAGAAAAATATACACGACACAATTACATTTTCCCTGAAAGAGTCGTATATGACTCATTGTAAGTCCAAGCGTCATATAGTTAAAATCAATATTTGCTCTTTCGTTCGTGTTAATATTATATGATAGATAGTAAAAGGTAAAAAAAACGATAGTGTATTTTTGAAATAACTTTTCATTTTTAATGTTAAAAAAATAAAGTCATTTTTTTCTTATAAATACAAAACACGTCTCTTTGCATATATTCAATATTTCAAAAAAGAGAACTATTGAACTCAATGATAATCGATGTTTTATCGTCTGAAGAGATTCATTGAGAAAATATCAACCTATCTACGTATAGTACAATACAATTGTGTTTCGTCAAATGAAATATGCTATTTTCACATTGACTAATAATATAGATTATTCATTTTCAAATAGGAAGTGCATAGTAAACGTAAATGAAAAACTATCATGTGTTTTTGTTGGTAATATGATAATATTTTTAATATTACAGCAACGCAAAATTAGTTTATACTACTCAGTATACAACGTTGTCTGTCTGAAACAGATTCAATATCATTTCACAGCTATATGATAGAACAATAAATTGAATATTTTTATTACAATTCACTTTGAACAAATGATTATTAAAAAGATATAAAATATGAAATTTAGCTTTGATATTAAATGGATAGTTTGTAAATATACATGATTGATTAAAGACTTGAATTATTCGATTTTCATGATATGTGTCTTTATAATATCATTGTTATGATTGCAACGTTGTATTCATCTTTATTTATATATTATCATGTACAATAGAATTCAAACTCTGTTTACTAGATCATATATGCTATACGATGTGTTTTATCAAAAATAAAATATGTTTCTATTGTATAACATTGTTTTGATTGTGCATAAAAAGAAATACTTCATAATCTTAATAAATATAAGTTTGAAAATAGTATTATGTTTGAAATTCATTGATCAGGATGTCATATACAATCTAATGCATCTAATTAATTTGCTCACTAGGTTTTTGTAATGAAATTAAATTTAATAAATAGATCATATATATTTTGATCATTTTAATTTGTTATATTGTGATATCATTCGATCATCTATTGAGTATCAAGACAAAGTATTTTTCGACGAAATTAAAAATGAAAGTTGATTTTTTTTATGTAGGTGTTAGTTTTCTTAGAAAGTGCAATATTTGCTTCCTTTCTCACAAAAAATAAATAAAGCATATTGGAATCTCTTTCTCTCCAATATAGATAAATTTCACTTCCTAATTCTCATGAAAAAAAAACTTATGTTAACCAAAGAGTCATCATTTGCTTTTTCGCCCACTGCAATAATTCACTATATATATGGCTATATGGCCAGCAAATTTATAACTTATAATCTAATACTATCACTATTTATTACTTCAAATTATATACGTAAGTGTATCATCGGATAATTTTAATAATATATATTACTATATTTTTAAACAGGCAATATGAACGCTGTTCAATTCATCGCCAGTTTATTATGCTGCATGTTATTGTTTGGAGCTCTGTCTAAAGCTCAAGTTGGTAAAAACTCAGGTGCTCGTAAGTAGACAAAGTTATGTATTATCAATATTCAAGTTAATCATTTGTTAACTTTTTAGAAATGTTCGAAAATGAAAGTACAGAAGATGATGCTCGCGTACGTCCATGCCGTCCTGGAAATATGCAGGATGAAATTAATTGCAGAAGCCATTGCAGAAGCTTAAAGTATCATACTGGCCACTGCCGAGAGTTTGAAGGTGAATGGAGATGTAAATGTTTCTTTCTATAAAACTGATCCATCCAATATTATTAATATTTATATTTTACTCAAGATTTAAAAAAAATACATACTTAATATTTTTTTGTTTTGATGACTAATAAAAACAACGAATAACGTATTGAAACGAAAAAAAGCAATGTAGTAGTTAATAGCAGATACACTTGGCATGGATTTCTTAGCTTAATTAATGGAAAAAAATTGTTGAATATATGCTAGTTAATAACTTGTATGATCGATAAACGAATATATACCTACTAGAATAAAATATTACTGTATGAATTTTATTCTTCACTTGGATAGTATAGAATGGAACTGATAACAATATAATTCACTTTTTTTTGTTCTTTATTGTGGATACGATATGAAACGAGCAGAAGGCATTGTTGGAAGTTTCTATTATAAATTAAAATATACGAAAAAATATGTCTAAAATGATTCAAATATAAAGTCAAAGAACAATGATACCAACGAAAATGAGAGTCATTTTGTTTTTTTTATTAAGATAATGATTTGATCTTTCTATCAACAATCAGCTAGTTTACCGTCTGATCAGTAAACCTAAAATTTATCTATAATAATGATAGGCTCAGTCATTCGAAGCATCATAATAACTACGTCATATTCATAGATAACAAAAAAAATAAAGGACGCGTTTATAATTATTTTTATTGAAAACTCATTCTATAGAAAAGAAATGCATATTTCTACTCTTACATCTAAACATTAATGAATATTTTCAGAATAGATAGATCAGCGAATGTATTCGTTCGTATAATAGCTAAATTTTTCAACATCTGATATGAGAAAGTCTTTTATTTGTACGAAATTTTCAGTACAAAAAAATATAAATGATAATAAAGAACGTTATAATAATAGAGTAGTCAATCAAATTCCAAAAAACTGATCTTGAGTATTTAAATATCTGCACATTTTATTATTTTTTATTTGAATAAAATAGATTCATTTTGATTTACTTAAATCTTTTTATAAATTTATATTGAATAACCCCACTGCCCCCTCTGAAGAAGTTTTTTTCTATTAATTTTATTTTTTTCCCAGCAGAAATAGTCAAAATTTTCGAAAAAGTTTGACATAGCATACCTTTTTTATTACTCATTGAAGAAAAAATATTTATAAATGAATAATCATTGAAAATATTATAATTTGATTTTCTCATAGAAGTCGTTCATCTAAAAAAAAATATGTTAATATTTCCAAATAAAAGACATTTCTCCATAGTTCAATGTATTTTTGGCAACCTTAGCTGACAATACATAAGAAATAAAATAGGAGAAATGACTATGTCCTTATCTACTTTTGTAAGTATAAACTTATAATGACTTAATGATAGTAAAAACATTGTCGATAGTAGAAGAAATAGAGAAAGAATTTTTTTTCTATGACAAGATTTCATTGATAAAACTGAAAATTGATTGCATTCTAATTTTTAATAAAATTTCAAACAATTTCTGTGATAGCCTTTCGATGAAGGAATGTCTTAATGTAGATTTCGATGTAAGTAAAGATTAGACATATATCTGCACCTACAACCTTACCTTCGAGATAAATGTTTAACCAATTCTGTGGTGTATATAATTAGAAACTTTTTCTGTAAAATTATCAACTCATAGGTTGCAAATTAGAGGTACTTTGTATACGAGTCTTGATAGCCCCTTAAATATGAAAACAATTAAAGTGTAGAGTGCGCCTATTATGGCTTCAGATGTGGGACGGTTATATACATAATAATCTCGCGAGACAATTATGTTTTTAATTTTTACTTCATAATATATTGTAACAAATAATAGCACAAGTGTCTCATCATCTTTAGTCACTTTTATTTCCTATCAACTGATCCGTGTTCAAACCAGTCCGACTAATTTTAAACGTGTTGTTACACACTAAAGTCATTTTCAATATCACGCGACAGTAATTCAAGGGTTATATTGTACACATGTCACGATACAACCAATCAATTCTATATCCGAGAAATATATATTATTAACTGTAATATTTATAAGTTGTATCCGAGGCAAAATTACAATTTTTTTATGTGGTTATAAGAATCGGACGGTAAAGTAATTTTATAATTCATCTATATACTAAAATATATATAAAATAAAATATTTTAAAATATTCTATATAATTTTTATTCATTATTAGAATTAATTTTTTTATAAATGAAATTCTCATATTACTTAGACGATTTAGTATGATAATTCAATTATTATTTTACAAAACAGCAATATAACACGAA